TCTCTCTCTCTCTCTCTCTCTCTCTCTCTCTTTCTCTCTGTGTGTGTGTGTGTGTGTGTGTGTGTGTGTGTGTGTGTGTGTGTGTGTGTGTGTGTAAGAACCCAAATTGATGGTCCCTTCTTTCAAAAGAGCCCCTCCAAGCTGTCTTGAGGATATGCAAGCACGTGCAGGAAAAGAGGTTGACGGCATGAGCGTTCCATAGAGATATAAGGAGCTGGCCTCGTCTTCTGAGGACAGCCATGGCTGACCGCTCCCGGTAATCACTGTGGGCCTAGTAACTGGCCTCTACAACACCCTGGGAAAAAAAAAAAGTGAAACTACGCAGGAGTCACAAAAAGAGTTTGAAAATACACTTCGTGCAAAAAACAGTTTCAAGCGGCACTTCGGGCATTGTATACAAGCTAGCTTTCCGGTCAGGTAGGTTTGTGTGGGGGTGTGTTGTGTTCGGGGGAATGCCCAAAGTGTAATTTCAAACTGTTTTTGTGACTGTACTGAAGTTACCCCCCCCCAAAAAAGGAGGAGCTGGTTCTTGCCGAGAAGCAGTTGTCCTAGCCTCCCAGGTCCAGGGATGTGAAAGCCTACCAGAGAATGACAGGTCGCGTCCCACCATTGCCATATTTGAGCGATTGCTTTTCTTTCTCTTCTTGAACTGTGGGAGCAGGGGGGAGGGGGGGTGGGGGGGAAGAGGGGGGAAGGGGGAAGGGGTCGGGGGAGAGAGAGGGGGGCAGGGGAGGGTGTGAGAGGGTGTGAGAGGGTCATAACTGGTCTCCATTTTTAGATTCATAAGGGTTAGTACCTGAATTTTTATTGCATCTGTGGCCCACGGCGCTTGTACCATGCTCCTAATAATGTAGAATATGCACATCAATTCCACTGGCCACTCAGGATCTCGAAGATCTGTTTGTTTGAAATTCAGTATAAACCACTTGATTGCTGCCAATATCTTCATTTCCTCGCCAGCGTCCATGCTTCCCTGTGATCCCTTCATGCCCTTAAGATCAGCGACTGCGCCCGGGCTTGGCTTAATATCTGCAAGCTGCTTGGAATCTGGCAACTGAGTCTTCACAGGCACGTGCGTCTGTTGCCTGGCTAACCCTTCTGAACGTTCCTGCCCATCATCTTTCTTGACCAATGGTTCTCTCACGCTTGAAATGCCATCTCCTTCTTCTTTCAATTGGGGTGTCGTCCCACTATCTCCTTCTCTGTCTTCTTCACCCTCGCCCTCATGTTCTTCCGCAGCCTCAGTGACTGATGTCGTCCTATTTGTGTGCTCGGCCCTTGACAAAACCTGCCCTATGCCTTGTGGCCGCTGTGCAGCTGCTTGCTGTAATTTGTTCAATTTCATGAATGCTGGTAATGAGGACCTGCGGTGTCGCTTTCTCTTGGTGTCCTGATCTTCAGGGCCTGTCCGCTGAAGACCCAGGTCATCTTTAGCCTTCAGAACAGGACCAAGGTTAAATATTTCCTTCAGCTGACGCTGCAGCGACAGCCGCCAGAAAATGAAGGTTCTAGGATCCATCTCTCTCCTTAGAGCGTACGCACGATACCACTGGTCTGAATGCATCTCACCGTAATTACGGCCAGACCGGGATGTATCTGGTCGTGTTTCCGTCCAGAAATAAGTAAAAAGGTTCTAGTGTGAGTATGCCCTTCTTAGTAAGGGAACTCAGTCATGGACAACAGCTCGAGAACTGAAGACAAGTGGCAAATACTCTTCGTAGATCGCAGTGGCTCCAGATTCACCTGGAGGACATGAACAATGCAGGGGGGGG